TCATGTTTATTTTGCTATCTGTGTCCTAGTAGGTAGATTAATGACATCATGATTACCACCTCATCCAATCAGAGAACACTTTACATTAATTGAGAAAATGGAAAGTGTTTCCTCAATGGCGCCCGTGCCAAGCTGCTGACCTCCTGTGTTTATAGTGCAGCTTACCAACTGCTCAGGATGGGATCTGGAAGAAAGTGGAGACCACAGTAGTAGAGGTATCTTTACAGTGATTTCCAGCTTCTAGAGGGATCCCACAGTTATGGTATATACAGTATATAGTCACATTGGTCGCAGGAGGATCAAGGTAACTACCGTATACCTCATATACACAGGGCTTGTATGCCACTTTGACAGATGTTTGTAATTTTTTTTCTTCAGCCTGTAAACACCTCTCTTTGTTAGAGTATGTAGCCATGCACAGATAGGCATTTACAGGGGTAATAGAAGGCAGGGCCAGATTTATAAGGGGGCAAAAGGGACAATTGCCCTGGGTCCCCTGACAGAAGAGGTCTATCTCTATACAAAAATGATATAAAACAATATAAAATAAATTATATACAAAATAATAATAAAAAAAGGTAAAATGTTTAAAAAATATATACTTTCTTTCATTAAATCTATCTTGGGAAGTAATATTTTGCCTGCCATCATCTGTAAAATACTAGACTGGTATACTGTATCGTTTTTGCAATGAATTTTGGTGGCTCCAGCAAAGCACACATAGAGCACTATGACTGCAAGTGTGACCTCAGAATGACGCTGTGTCTTGCATTGTGTCACAATGTGTGATTGTCATTGAGAATATAAACCGATCCTGTGTATAAGGGGACCCCTGAGCCTGAAGTGTCCTGGGACCCCCAAGGTCTAAATCTGGTTATGATAGAAGGGGAGCATTTAGAGCAGAAGTTGGCAACCTTAAAGAGGTGGAGATCTACCTGAACAACATGGGAGAAGTCGAAGATCACCGTGCACAGTATTGGACAGTGTCATCTCCTCAAACCTGATTTAAATCTCTAATTGCAGTACTACTGTGTCGCAATAATGTGCATTGCACTGAAATCATGGGTTTAAATCAGGTGGTGAGGAGGCAACATATCACCTCCTCATCACCTGTCAAACACACTCATATTGCTTTGTAGAGGAGCAGCAGTGTGAATGAGCCCTTAGTTGTATCCGGCAGTGGCAACCTTCGGGCTCGTTCACATGTAAAGATGGGGTGTGGTAAAACCCTGCAGTTGAGTCAGTTTTACTGCTCCCAATCCCTAACCCCTTTAGCTTCTGAGGTAGCAGCCAAAGATGTACAAATGCCGCAGCAGGAATTACACCCCCTGTTGTTTTTGGTGGGTGCTACCGCCTGTCCATCAAGACCCAGAGACCCATTCAAGTAAATGGGGCCACTCTGCAAGTGCCCCTCAACTGCATGCTTCTGCGGGGTCCAAGAGGTTAAAGCAGGTGCTGAGAAAGCAACACACCTCTGCCTGCTTTAACCCTTTGGTTGCTGTACAGCACAAGGTTGCAGGGCAATTGCAGAGCGGCCTCATTCACTTGAATGGATCATGCTTGGCAGGTGTTACACCCACCAACTATGACAGGGTGTAGGAGCCGACACTACAGAGGATACATCAAGGTATGTGGCTCTGGCACCTTACTACAGCTCCAACTTCACAAGTAGTCCCTCTGCATTGACTCAGTTTGATGCTCTGGGACGGTGGGTCGGCAGGCCCTGACTGTGGTCTACCAGTCACTTGGCCAGATCCACTGGTAGATCACGATATGCTGGTTGCTGACCCCCGAAAAAAAAAAATTGCACTGCCAGCTCATTCAGGAGGAGCATTTGTTCAGAAAAAACACTGAATGGCCTACAATCTTCTAAATGCACCTAAACACTGGGAGTTTTAGTACCTCAGGAGTTCATTCATTCCAATGGCCAGAATAAATGATTATTCTGGCCAATGAAAATCAATGAATGCCCAAATGCTTGACACACCTAAACGTGCACAAAATGAGGCTTTTGTCTCGTTTTTTTAAGCTGCTTTTTTCCTGCCAGGAGCAAAGGTGTCCGGGGGGGGGGGGGGGGGGGGGGGAATCTCAATGTGTATGAAGCCATTTGATCCCATCTAATGAACATAATTGCTGAGACACTGTACCATTGTACTAGAAGGGGGACAAGTATAAATCATAGCATTCCCCTATTAGTAAATAATTGTGTGAACTGCCATCATCTCTAATCTGTCTACTGACTCCAATCATAGAAGGAAAAATAAAAAGATCATTCAAATTATTTCCTTTTCAGAACCGACACTGCCATCATGACATTGAAATATCTAGAAGTACTGAGTACCCTACAACTACTATTATCACTGCAGGTAACAGTCTATTACATACGTCTATCTATCATCTATCTATCTATCTATCTATCTATCTATCTATAATCTATCTATCTATCTATCTATCTATCTATCTATAATCTATCTAATCTATCTAATCTATCTATCTAAACATTGTCATTTTTTGAAAGCTGTTTTCATATTCAAAATACACTATATTGCCAAAAATATTGGTCGGCCTGCCTTTATACTCACATGAACTTTAATGGCATCCCAGTCTTAGTCCGTAGGGTTCAATATTGAGTTGGCCCACCCATTGCAGTTATAACAACTTCAACTCTTCTGGGAAGGCCGTCCACAAGGTTTAGGAGGGTGTCTATGGGAAGGTTGGACCATTCTTCCAGAAATGCCTTTGTGAGGTCAGGCACTGATGTCGGGGGAGGAGGCCTGACTTGCAGTCTCTGCTCTAATTCATCCTAAAGGTGTCCTATTAGGTTGAGGTCAGGACTTTGTGCAGACCAGTCAAGTTCCTCCACCCCAGACTCATTCATCCATGTCTTTATGGACCTTGCTTTGTGCACTGGTGCGCAGTCATGTTGGAACAGGAAGGGGCCATCCCCAAACTCTTCCCACAAAGTTGGGAGCATGAAATTGTCCAAAATGTCTTGGTATGCTGATGCCTTAAGATTACCCTTCACTGGAACTAAGGGGCCAAGCCCAACCCCTGAAAAACATCCCCACACTATAATCCCCCTCCACCAAACTTTACACTTGACACAATGCAGTCAGGCAAGTACCGTTCTCCTGGCAACTGCCAAACCCAGACACATCCATAGGATTGCCAGAGAGAGAAGCGTGATTCTTTACTCCAGAGAACACGTCTCCACTGCTCTAGAGTCCAGTGCTGGCGTGCTTTACACCACTGCATCCGATGCTTTCCATTGCAGTTGGTGATGTAAGGCTTGGATGCAGATGCTTGACCATGAAAACCCATTCCATGAAGCTCTCTATGCACTGTTGTTGTGCTAATCTGAAGGCCACATGAAGTTTGGAGGTCTTTAGCAATTCACTCTGCAGACAGTTGGCGACTTCTGCGCACTGTGCGCTAAAGCAAGCGCTGACCCCGCTCTGTCATTCTACGTGGCCTACCACTTGGTGGCTGAGTTGATGTTGTTCCCAGTTGATTCCACTTTGTTATAATCCTACTAACAGTTGAGCGTGGAATATTTAGTGGCCAGGAAATGTCATGGATGGACTAGGTGGCAACCTATTATGGTACAATGCTTGAATTCAGAAACAGTATCATGTCTCAAAAAAGCTCCACCTTCTATTATTAAAAAAGTCTGTCCTTGAGCTCCAATCAGTGCCTTTGCCTAGGCTGAGATAATATCATCAGTCTGCTGCAGATAGGAGGAAGCATTTCCTCAGTCTCCCATCCCCCAGTGATAATACTGCAACACTGTAGCAAGTCAACAGGGAAGAGGCTGCAGCATGGGCTTATCTGTGTCAGAACTACACTACACATACACCAGGATTTACATGACTGTGTGATCTCTGAGCCGCCATCTCAGTCCAGGAAGTAGATGGTGACCATGGTTGATGCCTGGAAAAAATATGGTGCTATTCTTCTGGATAGAGTAGCAGATGAAGGTGTAGTCAGGGGAAGTTCTGTGATCTCTGTTGGAGGGTTACACTGATAGGTTACCTAGTATGCTGCATTTATTGTGAGCAAATATATTTGGTCCTTGGTCTATTTTAATGCTAATACGTTGTATTATATATTTTTCTCTGTAAATAAAATAAGTGCAGCACTAGGTGCAATTCGGACAAATTTATGGTGGCAATGTTCATAAATGGGTTGTTAGTCCACAAAAATAATAGCTCAGAGGTGATATAACATTCCCAAGGTCGTAGTTGAAGTAAGACTCTGTGAGGGGCAAGGTATGTATAAAATGCGCACTCACCGGAAGTGCAAACAAATTGCGCAATATATCAACAAAACGGAGGTCTGCCAGGGGGTCCCTTTCAGGATAGGGATAGAGGTTGGCACACCCCTTCTGAAGACGTACTAGTGTACGAAACGCGTCTTGGAGGAACCTGCAAGCTTTGACGTCACGCCACCGGGTCACGGAGATCCGGCGGCCTCATTTGATCACCAGCTGAGCGCCCCCTGGTGACCATTCCACTGCACTGAAGTGGCTGCATGCGTGTCCTTAAAGTGGACCTCCGGTTTGAGAACATTTATCAAGACGATGTCCATTCATCCTGGGCTGGCTCTATCCGTATCCTGAAAGGGACCCCCTGGCAGACCTCTGTTTTGTTGATATATTGCACAATTTGTTTGCTCTTTCGGTGAGTACGCATTTTATACACACCTTGCCCCTCACCGAGTCTTACTTCAACTATGACCGTGGGAATTATATATTACCTCTGAGCTCTTATTTTTGTGGACTAACAACCCATTTATGAACATTGCCACCATAAATTTGTCCGAATTGCACCTAGCACTGCACTTATTTTATTTACATGTCTCTTGAAAGGTTTATGGTTTCCTTTACTGTGTACAGCTGCTTTTATGAGTTTATATTATGAGCAATCACTGAGTCTTTTTTTCTATATATTTTTCTCTGTTTTTGTATTTTGCAGATTGTTTGCCAGGCTGTGGATCTCAGCATGATGAGCAATGCATTTGATGATCAGTACCTAGGCTGTGCACGGCAGATGGAGCGGGAAATGGCAAAGGTTCTGGAGCAGGAGAAGAAATACAGGCCATTGGCTATAATGTGGTACTTGGCAGAGCAGAGGTGGGCGATCGTTAAACAATCCAACATTTTCCCACCCGACTTCAAGGATGAGTATGGGATATCACTCATTCTGTACACCAAGGAGAGCCCCTTCCCCATCTACCAACAGCTGAACCGCAACGTGTCCATCGCCGGACGATCGCGGCAGCACTATATGGACCGATTCCATTTCAAGGCTCTCCATTTCTATCTCACCAGGGCACTGCAAGTACTGGGCGGCGGCTGTGGTGATGGCTCGCAGGCTTACCGTGGATCTTGGATGAAGTTCAAGAACGTGTCATCGGACCTGCGGTTTGGGCAATTTGCATCATCATCTCTGAGCAGAAAGACCGCCCAGAGGTTTGGCATCAACACCATGTTCACCATATTCACCTGTTTTGGTGTAAACGTGGAGTCTTTCTCAGACTTTATGGAGGAGGAGGTTCTGATTCCAGTGGCAGAGACGTTCCATGCTATAAAAACATCAGAAACATTGTATGTGCTGAGGAGCAGCGGTCAGCAGTGCAGCTACTACAACTGTGCGTACTTAGGAGGTGAGCAGAACCGGGGCTCACTTTACTGGCCTGATGTGTCGACCACTACGTCTCATTACTATGGTGGACCCAGTCTTATTGATTCCTGCTTTAGTTATTCTAGCCCTATATGGCACTACGTCCCTTTGCTCGCTACTTTAGTGGTACTAGCCCTACATGCCACTACTTCCCATTACTATGTTGGACCCAGTCTTAATGCTCTCTATTTACTAGTATTAGCCCTATGTACATCAGCTTCCTATTACTATGGTCGATTCAGTCTTATTGCTCCCTACTTTAGTGGTACTAGCCCTATATGCCTCTACTTCCCATTGCTATATGGTGGTCCCAGTCCCATTGCTCCCTACTTTAGTGGTACTAGCCCTATATGCCTCTACTTCCCATTGCTATGGTGGTCCCAGTCCCATTGCTCCCTACTTTAGTGGTACTAGCTCAACATGCCACTACTTCTCATTACTATGGTTCTCCCAGTGCCATTGCTCCCTACTTTAGTGATACTAGTCCTATGCCACTACTTCCCATTATTATGGTGGGCCCAGTCTTATTGCTCCCTATGTTAATGGTACTAGCCCTATATCTCCTACAATACTGCAACTAACCTCTGTGTTATCCGGTATAGTGGCACTAACTTCTTTCTTTCTTTTATAGAGGTAGCTACCATCATACCCTTGTGCATAGTGGTGCCAGCCCCTCGGATTCCTGATGGAAGGCTATTAGCTTCCATTGCCCCTATAAAGCCTTCATTTACTTATTGCCAACCACGAAACACATACATACGGCAGCAAGAAATGTGAGCTTTAATGCTCAGCCACCACACATATTCCTCTATGGTGGCAGGAAATTGTGTGTCGAGTTAGCTCACTGTGCACTTCTAGGTCACTGACTAAGTTCTCAGTCAAGACTTTGGGACAAGCCGATGGAACTAAGGGATTAATGGTGTAGCAAGGGCCATAACAGACCACACATTTCCTATGGGGCCCAGAGCTGTCCAGCTCCACATGGATCTATGCAGCTGGCAATAGTATTTGGTAGATATATGTGGACAAAATTATAATTCCGTTTCTCTACACAGTTGCTTTGAACATTAATAACATTCTGCATCAATGGAGGATGTGTTCTTGAGGTGGAGATCCAAGAAACAGGGGTGTGTTGTAATGGTTTCAATTATTTTGATGTATTTACTTTTTAACTTTATGTTTATAAACTAAGGTTGCACCGATACAGACATGGGTATTGGTGCTGATACTAAGCACTTGCATGAGTATCGGTACTTGTGTAAATGCTCCGATACCTGAAACCAATACCTTCAGGTTCGGCTTTTTTAGCTATCAGCGAGATTCCCCTACTGACAGCAGAAATGTAAATTTAAAAAAAAAAACTGTCAAAACAAAAAAAGCTGGCAATTACCAGTTGTTATGGAGCAGGGCCGCCACATCCTTAGCAACCGATGACTCATTCAGCTTTCAGTGGGGTTCCCCTGCTGATAGCCGAAGTGTAAACAAAAGAAATGTCCGAGCAATTGAAGCTGTCAAAAAAATGTTTATAAACAGCATTGCTCAGCCCTAAAACAGAAAGATAAAAAGAAACATTGTTTAAATTTTGTATCTTTCTGTTTATTCATCTGCAGATCAAAAGGGATGAACTACAATCTGCAGATGAAGTCAGTTTAAAGAAACCTGTCAAGTATTTATTTTTTTAAATTAAATGTTCCTCTGTTTAACCCCTTATTAACCCTTAATTTACTCTAATCACCGCTAATTAACTCCCATTTCTATTTCTCCATTTAATATTCCTTATGATTTTTTTCATTTCTATTTGATTAACTATGAATAATTAAAAAATTATAACTTTTTTATTTTTGTGTGCTCTGTTTGTTACACCTTTAACCACTTCCCATCCGCCTGCCTGCCTTGTAGAGCGACGTACTAGTCCGTTGATGTGGCTGTACCAACACGGGGGGGGGGGCGCTGTGCGATATCGGTAATCAGGACTCCGTGATCAGGATTTGGTGATGATGTGATTGCTATGTGATCACATAAATAAAAAAAATGCAGCGCAGTACTATAAACTCAAATACGTTGCTAAATAAATCCAACGTGCATATGTGAATACAGACAATTGTGCTTCATGACAATAATATGTGCTACATCCAAAAAAATATTAACACATATACATAAATATCCATAAAACTGCATACACCAGTGCTAAATGAATAGTGTATACAAATATCAAATGAACCGAACAAAATGGTGAACTGTCCCTTTAACACTCCAATATCTTCACATGTATTTGTGTGATATATCTCCTGTGGATCGTGTTCCGAATATACCATTAACAAGTATACCAATATTATAGTATCAAAATGCAGGTGAACCGTTCCTTTAAATCTGCTGTGCTCCAAGTGGATCTGTGTGATGACACTACTGCATACACATATACGGTGCTCCTGTGTCACCCCTCAGTGCTTATCCACCTCTGACAAACTATTGCGCTCACCTTCAGGTTTGACCTGAATACTCGAGTCAAACTACGCCTTTCCGTTTAACCCGGGAGGGTATGCTGGTACAAAGATCTTCACCACCGTCAGTACTTAATATCTCCAAAATGCATATAGTGAAGTATAGCCAAATGTAACCAACTTTATTAAAATACTAATCAAAATACACTCACATTAAAAAGTGTCCACCTGGGACACTACAGGATAAAAGACTCACTGTACAGTATCTTTCTTGAATAAAAGTGCATGGATCCCTTATCCAAAATGGCGGAACGTGCACTTCCGGTTTACGGCTTGACAACATCAGTGTACCCTGCGCGTTATGTCACATCACATCACGTGACTTCATCAGGAGTCTGTGTTTGTGGAGCATTTTGGAGATTTTAATTGGTGACGGTGGTGAAGATCTTTGTACCAGCATACCCTCCCGGGTTAAACGGAAAGGCGTAGTTTGACTCGAGTATTCGGGTCAAACCTGAAGGTGAGCGCAATAGTGTGTCAGAGGCTCTGGGCAAAGCGATGTACCCTTAAGTCATTTTATATTTCTAGGTGTGAGCACGCATGCGCCCCCCCCCCCCCACTGCCCCCTCTTTCATTCCAGGAGAGAACACAGCACTGTGAGTAAAAGCACTACATTTTACATTTACATTAGATTAGCACATTTAACCTTTTGATTGCCCCTATTAACCCTTCGATCATCCCCTCACCATGCAGTGCCATTAGTACAGTGTCAGTACATATAATTTTTCACTGATCATTGTATTACTGCCACTAATGACATCAGATAGTGTCAGGGTCAGCTAGCGTTAGATTGCCCGCACAATATCGCACTCACGCTATAGGTTGCTGATCACCACCATTACTAGTATAGTGTTTGTATGGATTATTATATTGATCACAAACAGAACTATACTAGTGCCTGCTTTGTATAGTGTTCCCCAAAACGCAGTGTTAGCAGGATCGGCCCCATTCATTGCCAGCACTAGTGTTTAGCCGCTACACTGTTTTTCACGGAAGATTTGTACCAGTTGATTGTGGGCCAAGGCAATTCCTATGCACAGCAAATACATCGCCATCCACTCAAATTCAACTCTTGCCAGACAATTCACATGGAAACCTATCACAGTTTCTGAGTTTAAAACTTTTTTGGGCCTAACCCACAACATGGACATTACAAAAAAAGAATGAATTGCAGTCATATTGGTCCAATGACCCCATTCATCATATGCCCGTGTTCTCTGCTGTTACATATATGCCCAACAAGGAGAAGCCACATACTGGTACATCGCTGGACTTTGAGTGGTTATACTGGGATGATGCAACTACAGGCATCATCATCATATTGTTTTTTTCAGATGGAGGTTGGCTTTCATGTAAAAGCAATCCTAGTGGCTGGATCACTTTTACAAACAGTAGGATGTCCCCTCTCCCACCACCACATCTTTCCTGGGCTCTCCTGACCCACCGGAACCCACCTGGCCATAGAGCCGATCCAATGGATCTAATCATCTCTATGTTCTTAGAAACCAGAAGCTATGAGCATTGCATCATTTCATTTAATTTGGGAAAGCATTTGATCACAGATCTTGGTGTGATGAAATGCTTTAAGGGCAGAGGAGAGATCTAGAGTCTAACAGATCCCAGATTTCTCAGAAAAGAGTACCTGTCACCAGGGGCGGACTGACCATTTGGGAACTCGGGCACTGCCCGAGGGTCCGGGGACAGTAGGGGGCCCCATGAGATGCTCCTGGTACCTTTCATAGGATTTTTTGGGTGTGGTTTGAGTGTGGGCGAGGACACAGGGGCCCCATGATCCCCTATTGCCTGGGAGCCCCATGAGTTGTCAGTCCGCCTCTGCCTGTCACTACCTATTGCTACCACAAGGGATATTTACAATCCCTGAGATAACAATAAAGGTGATAAAAAAATAAATAAAAGGACCGTGCAAAAAAAAAAAAAGTAAAAGTAAAATAAATAACAAAATCACCTCCACCTCCATCCCTGTGCTTCTGCACAAAGGCAACTGCAAGTGTTGGTCCTGTGTCGGTATGTAAACAGAGAAGACTGCACCATGTCATGTTTGGTATCTATTTACTCGGAGTAACATCATCTTTTATATTTTATCAAACACTTGGCAATATATTGTGTTTTTGTGCAATTAAATAAAAAAAAATAAGTGTACTGTTTAAAAAAAGTAGCATTTGGAAAATTGCTGCGCAAATACTGTGTGACATAAAAAATTGCAACACCTAACACTTTAGGTGGGCCTCTGATTTAAAAAAAAATATATAATGTTTGAGATTAAAAGTAATTTTCCAGCAAAAAAATCTGTTTTGCAAACAAAAAATGTCAGAAAAGGCTTATTCTTCAAGTGGCTAGAAGAGTGGGTGATGTCTGGCATTCTAACGTTGGCCCTGAAATGTCAGGATAGTAGAAGCACCCCCCACCCCACCACATTAACCCTTTTTGGAAAGTAGACACTCCAAGGTATTTGCTGAGGGGCATAGTGAGTATTTTGCAGATCTCATTTGTTGCTTTGATATCTGAAAAATTCAAATCATATCTCTTATTAAATTTCTTGAGGGTTGGTGCTATCCTGGCATTTTAGAGCCTCCAAAATTGTGATAGGCAGTGAGGAAGTGATATGAGGAAATACGTACTTTGAAATCCTGAAGGTGGTCATTTAGATTTTTAGGGCCTGTATGTAGCTAGGCTGCCAAAAAGTCTCTCACATGTGGTATCCCCATACTCGGGAGAAGTAGCAGCAAAATGTGTTTTGCGGTGTTATTCCACATGGGATGCATTTAGGTGACAACATTGTATACATTTTTATTGTAGTTTTCAAAAAATTTGTGGCAAAAAATAAAATCTTCCATGAACTCAATATGCCTCTCAGCAAATTCCCTGGGGTGTCTACTTTCCAAA